TAAACCCATTCATGAGTGCATATTGGAATGGCTATTCGGACAGGTATTAGACGGTGACATCATGTGTTTACTCTTGAACACAGCAAAGAATCAAACATTTCTGCTACTGCTAATAATAACAATAGTAATAATAATAATAATAATAATAATAATAATAATAATAATAATAATAATAATAATAAATACGATATAATTGAAGGAAGTTGTACAAAAATACGAGGGAGTGGTTGACACATCGTCAGTGTGGCTTTGTTTATGCTGGAGTGAGCATTAGCCTCCGTGCTCTTCCAAACATTTCACAATAATTCATTGTTTGGTGCTTGTAGATTGAGTGCGACTGGAGTGGTAGAGGCAGTGGTTGAGGCAGCTGTTGAGGCAGCTGTTGAGGCAGCTGTTGAGGCAGCTGTTGAGGCAGCTGTTGAGGCAGCGATTGAGGCAGCAATTGAGGCAGCAATTGAGGCAGTGGGTGAGGCAGCTGTTGAGGAAGCGATTGAGGCAGTGGTTGAGGCAGCTGTTGAGGCAGCAATTGAGGCAGTGGTTGAGGCAGCGATTGAGGCAGCAATTGAGGCAGTGGGTGAGGCAGCTGTTGAGGCAGTGATTGAGGCAGTGGGTGAGGCTGCTGTTGAGGCAGCGATTGAGGCAGTGGTTGAGGCAGCTGTTGAGGCAGCAATTGAGGCAGTGGGTGAGGCAGCTGTTGAGGCAGCGATTGAGGCAGCTGTTGAGGCAGCGATTGAGGCAGTGGGTGAGACAGCTGTTGAGGCAGCGATTGAGGCAGTGGGTGAGGCAGCTGTTGAGGCAGTGATTGAGGCAGTGGTTAAGGCAGCTGTTGAGGCAGTGGGTAAGGCAGCTGTTGAGGCAGCGATTGAGGCAGTGGTTGAGGCAGCTGTTGAGGCAGTGATTGAGGCAGTGGGTGAGGCAGCTGTTGAGGCTGCTGTTGAGGCAGCGATTGAGGCAGTGGTTGAGGCAGCTGTTGAGGCAGCATTGGAGCAATTGCAGTGGGTGAGGCAGCTGTTGAGGCAGCGATTGAGGCAGCGATTGAGGCAGCTGTTGAGGCAGCGATTGAGGCAGTGGGTGAGGCAGCTGTTGAGGCAGCGATTGAGGCAGTGGGTGAGGCAGCTGTTGAGGCAGTGATTGAGGCAGTGGGTGAGGCAGCTGTTGAGGCAGCGATTGAGGCAGTGGTTAAGGCCGCTGTTGAGGCAGCGATTGAGGCAGTGGGTGAGGCAGCTGTTGAGGCAGCGATTGAGGCAGTGGGTGAGGCAGCTGTTGAGGCAGCGATTGAGGCAGTGGTTGAGGCAGCTGTTGAGGCAGTGATTGAGGCAGTGGGTGAGGCAGCTGTTGAGGCTGCTGTTGAGGCAGCAATTGAGGCAGTGGTTGAGGCAGCTGTTGAGGCAGCAATTGAGGCAGTGGGTGAGGCAGCTGTTGAGGCAGCGATTGAGGCAGCTGTTGAGGCAGCAATTGAGGCAGTGGGTGAGACAGCTGTTGAGGCAGCGATTGAGGCAGTGGGTGAGGCAGCTGTTGAGGCAGCGATTGAGGCAGTGGTTGAGGCAGCTGTTGAGGCAGCGATTGAGGTAGTGGGTGAGGCAGCTGTTGAGGCAGCGATTGAGGCAGTGGTTGAGGCAGCTGTTGAGGCAGTGGGTGAGGCAGCGATTGAGGCAGCTGTTGAGGAAGCAGTCGAGGCAGTGGTTGAGGCAGCTGTTGAGGCAGCGATTGAGGCAGTGGTTGAGGCAGCTGTTGAGGCAGCGATTGAGGCAGTGGGTGAGGCAGCTGTTGAGGCAGCGACTGAGGCAGCTGTTGAGGCAGCGATTGAGGCAGCTGTTGAGGCAGCTGTTGAGGCAGCGATTGAGGCAGTGGTTGAGGCAGCTGTTGAGGCAGCGATTGAGGCAGCTGTTGAGGCAGCGATTGAGGCAGCTGTTGAGGGAGCTGTTGAGGCAGCGATTGAGGCAGTGGTTGAGGCAGCTGTTGAGGCAGTGGGTGAGGCAGCGATTGAGGCAGTGGGTGAGGCAGCTGTTGAGGAAGCAGTCGAGGCAGTGGTTGAGGCAGCTGTTGAGGCAGCGATTGAGGCAGTGGTTGAGGCAGCTGTTGAGGCAGCGATTGAGGCAGTGGGTGAGGCAGCTGTTGAGGCAGCGATTGAGGCAGCTGTTGAGGCAGCGATTGAGGCAGCTGTTGAGGCAGCTGTTGAGGCAGCGATTGAGGCAGTGGTTGAGGCAGCGGTTGAGGCAGTGGTATTTAATAACATACATGTTATTAATAATAATAATACATGTTGTTAATAATATGTACTATTATTATTTATAACATATATGCTATTAAATACCACTGCCTCAACTGCAGAATTATTGTGAAATGTTTGGAAGAGCACGGAGACTAATGCTCACTCCAACATAAACAAAGCCACACTGACGATGTGTCAACCACTCCCTCGCATTTTTGTACAATTTCCTTCTTCAATTATATCGTATTATTATTATTATTATTATTATTATTATTATTATTATTATTACTATTATTATTACAGTGGAACCCCGCATAGCGATTTTAATCCGTGCAAGAGGGCTCATTGTTATGCGAAATGATCGGTATGCGAATGAATTTTCCCCATAAGAAATAATGGAAATCAAATTAATCCGTGCAAGACACCCAAAAGCATGAAAAAAAAATTTTTACCACATGAAATATACATTTTCCTACACACAAATAGAAGGATACATGCACAATAGTAGAGTAGTACATGCACAATATATATTGTGCATGTACTACTCTACTAAATGAAGAATAAATGACACTTACCTTTATTGAAGATGCAGCAATGACTGATGAGACACTGTGTCCTGGGAGTGCCTTTTCCTCCTGAGTACTGTAGGTCCTGTTTGGCATTTTCTTCCAGAACAGGCCTTATCACACTGTGTATGCCACTACGATTCTTAAATCTCTCAAACCAACCTTTGCTGGCTTTAAATTCACCAATATGAGCACTAGTTCCAGGCATTTTTCCCTGTTCACCTGGGTGTTAGTCGACTGGTGTGGGTTGCATCCTGGGAGACAAGATTAAGGACCCCAATGGAAATAAGTTAGACAGTCTTCGATGACACTGACTTTTTTGGGTTATCCTGGGTGGCAAATCCTCTGGGGTTAATTGTTTCTTGGTATTCTCAATAAGCCACACCAACAACGGTGCTACAGCAGCAGCAGCAGCAGCAGCTGATAGTGATACAGCAGCAGCAGACGATGCTACAGCAGCAGCAGATGGTACTACAGCAGCAGCAGACGGTACTACAGCAGCAGCAGCTGACGGTGGTACAACAGCAGCAGCAGCTGACAGTGCTACAGCAGCAGCAGACGATGCTACAGCAGCAGCAGACTGTACTACAGCAGCAGCAGCAGCTGACGGTGGTACAGCAGCAGCAGCAGCAGCAGCAGCAGCAGCTGATGGTGCTACAGCAGCAGCAGCAGCTGACAGTGCAGCAGCAGCAGCAGCAGCTGACGGTGGTACAGCAGCAGCAGCAGCTGTACCACCAATAGTAGCGATGGTTGATTGGGGTTTATTATACAACCTGGCCAGCTCGGAGACATGCACTCCACTTTCATACTTATCAATGATCTTTTTCTTCATCTCTATAGTAATTCTCACCCTTATTGCTGTAGGGTTGGCACTAGAAGCTTTCTTGGGGCCCATGGCCACTTATTTTGCAGATAAAATCACCAAAAACACTGTAATACGAAATGTTCCGATTGTATGCTTGGATGTTACCGCGGAGGCTGGCTGGTAAACAATGCCACTGGCGGCACATGTGAGGCTGGCTAAGGGCGCACATTGGACGCGTCTCGAACAAACAGCGGTGAGCGGGTTTTTGAGTGGTATGCGAGGCAAAATTTTTGCGATAAAAGCGAGCGGTATGCGGATTAAACGTTATGTGATGCCAACGGTATGCGGGGGTCCACTGTACTATTGTTATTATTAGCAGTAGCAGAAATGCTTGATTCTTTGCTGTGTTCAAGAGTAAACACATGATGTCACCATCTAATACCTGTCCGAATAGCCATTCCAATATGCAGTCATGAATGGGTTTGCATTGTTTATACTGTAGTTCTAATAGCAAATAATGAACAAACAAAACACTCACCACACTGAGTGGTGGGAGGGCTGGCTGCCAGTTGTGGGGGTCGGAGGGAGGGTAGTAGGGACTCGCAGTGGTTGAGGAAGTGGTGGAGGCATTGGTGGAGGCAATGGCGGAGTCTGTGGTATTTAATAACATACATGTTATTAAAGCATAACATGTATATTTTTAGTACAGTTTATGACGTTTTCATGTATTTTATGGTTGTTCACGGTTCAACAAGTTAAGGAAGCAGTATTGTATTATATTTCCCTACAATATATTGGGGCACCAAACATTCACGGTTTTTCAACATTCGTGAGGCTCTTGATCCCCTAACCCTCGCGAATGTTGAGGGAGACCTGTATATACGTTTGGGATGCTAACAGTAAGAACATATATATACGTTTGGGACGCTAACGGTAAGAACGTATACATGTATATACGTTTGGACCGTTTAGGGGTTAAGTCATTCAGTCAGTCAGTCTTCCTTTACAAATAGTCAGCTACTAAACTACCAGATGTACACCAGCTTCACCTCTTGTCTTAGAACTGTCCTTTAAGAGGTGCTCTACTTAAGTGATTTCTGTGGCAGTGCATGGATCCACACCCAGTTCTTCTTTTCCTAGTTATCTGGTGGTACTGTATCCAAAAAACATGAGAGTGGCTATCTTTATACTTAGCAAATCAAAATTGTAATTACACATTGTAACCTTTACAAAGAAATAAACTTATTATTATTATTATTTTATACATTTGACCCTTCAAGAGGGATGCCTTGATGCAGGTGAAGGGCTCTTGCTACAAGGAATTGGATCTACCCTCTCATTCCTTGAGTGAAAACAAATTATCTCCTGGGCACTATGACCTTTATTGGTCTAGCAATTCCCCATGAATAAAATACTATATTATTATTATTATTATTATTATTATTATTATTATTATAATACATCAGAAAATTATAGTTAAACCATTACGTACCTTTGGTATTTGTCAAATGGAAGCAATTAACTTATTATTCTAAGTGGAATGAAAATATTTTACAATTTACAAGAGAGGTGCCTTGACATCAATGAAGGGCTAGTGATCCAATGAGCTGGAGCTACTGTCCCCTTTCTCGGATCAAACCTGATTACTTTCCATTTCCAAGGTGCTGTGTGGCCCCTATGGGTTTAGCACTTCTCCATGAATATAATTGCTGTTGACAAAAGTGTAACATTTTGTGTTTGCTATATTATTAAGAGTTGCAAATATCAGGTATATGACACTTGCTATAAATATATGAGTGCTGTGGCAAAGGCTGTATCCCCTAGATATTTTATGAAAAGCTAGTAAATTTTCTATACATAAGAAGATCTCTGTTTGCTGGTGGCTGTGGTCCTTTTGCTGCCATGGCAACATATCTGTTATAGATGTCTCTTGAACGGCGATCAACAGTAGGTGGGTCAGTTTCTACAGAAGAATCAAGACAGAAGCTTGATCTCTGAATCAGTACCAAGGGAGCTGTAAAAAAAAAAAAAAACAGAAAAAAAGACTGAAATAAAAGAGTAGATGTTTGCTATGAAAGGATGGAAAAGTTCTAGGCAATTTACATTACAAGCAATGTAGCAATAAAAACAACACGATTGGTCCACACTTGTTCGAAGTGAAGCAAATTAAGGCCTAAGATATTTTGGGGTTTGTTATTCAATACAGATGGCAGTAGTCCTTTTTGATAAGCTACAGATGGTCATAGGTTACACACAATACTGCATTACAGAACAACCCTGATACCTCATACCAAACCCCATTACCTCAAACTGATCTCTTTGGTAATGGTGTACCTCAAGTCAAAAATCCCTTGTAACTATCATAGTTCCAACTGAATAAAAGAAAGTACAGTCAGACAGTGCTAGACAAGAGTTGCAAATAGAAAGGAATATACTAATTGTTTGTTTAACCCTTAAACTGTCCAAACGTAGATGTACGTTTGCACGCGTTGTGCTCTGAACGTAGATCTACGTTTTTTACGTTGTTTCTTATGGAGAAAATCAAGGTCGGAGCGCAATGCGCACAAACATAGATCTACGTTTGGACAATTTAAGGGTTAACAAAGTCCTAGTCTGGAAGTGGCAAAAGCAATGAATATTTAAGGAGCAAGTTCTTCACTCTCCTATACCTTACTATAAAATACAGTGGTACCTCGAGTTACGAACTTAATTTGTTTCAGAAGGCTGTTCGAGTGCCGATACAGAATGAATTTGTTCCCGTAAGGAATAATGTAAATTAGATTAGTCCGTTCAGACCCCAAAAAAACACTTACAAATTATTCTTCTTCTTTCAACAAACTGGCCATATCCCACCGAGGCAGGGTGGCCTAAAAAAGAAAAACGAAAGTTTCTCTTTTTAAATTTAGTAATTTATACAGGAGAAGGGGTTACTAGCCCTTTGCTCCTGGCATTTTACTTGCCTCTTACAACACACAGAGGAAGAATTCTGTTCCACTTCCCCATGGAGATAAGAAATAAACAAGAACAAGAAATAGTAAGAAAATAGAAGAAAACCCAGAGGGGTGTATATATGTTTGTACATGTATGTGTAGTGCGACCTAAGTGTAAGTAGAAGTAGCAAAACGTACTTGAAACCTTGCATGTTTATGAGACTGAAAAATGGACACCAGCAATCCTACCATCATGTAAAACAATTACAGGCTTTCGTTTTACACTCACTTGGCAGGACGGTAGTACCTCCCTGGGCGGTTGCTATCTACCAGCCTACTACCTAGAACACTTACAAATGCACTTACAAAAATACACTTACATAACTGTTTGAGTTGGGAGCTGTTCGAAACTCGAGGTACCACTGTATAAACAATAAGAAAGAATGAATACAGTAGAGCCCTACTTATACAGCAGGTTAGGTTCCAAGCTACTGCCAGAAAGCAGACACTGCCGGAAAGCAGAATGCCATTTTTTCCACTTATAAATGCATATAAATGCCAGACAAAAAATTTACACTAACTTATATTTAGTTAGTAAGAGAACTAGGCAATTAAAAACACAATAAAAAGTAAAATACATACACAGTACATTCGTTACTTACCTTAAAATATTTGTAGTCTTAATGAAGGGTGAGAGGTGAGTAGTACTTATTTGTGGGAAGTTAGGCGTAAGCCCAGGCTGCCCACCCCAAATTTAATATATGATATTTAAAGCAGCTCAGAGATATAATACACATACAGTACACTCATTATTTACCTTAAAATATGTGTAGTCCTAATGCAGGATGAGAGGTGAGAATTACTTATTTGTAGGAAGTCAGGTGTAGGTAGTCGGTAGATGCAGGTATGTACCCCTCAAGGAAGGTTCCTTGATGCTGGTGAAGGGCTCTTGATCTAGGAAATTGGATCTGTGTTCCAGTTCCCTGAATTAAACCTGAATACCTTCCACATCCCCCCGTAGGCACTGTATAATCCTAAGGGTTTAGAGCTTCCCCTTTCATTTTAATAATAAGAATAATAATGTAGGTATGTAGTCTGCCTGGGCTACATACCTACACCAACCTACACAGCTACACAATATTTAATGTGGCCCAGAGCCATATTATTACCATCGACATACCATGTTCACCAAGTTTAATTGTTTCTAACAACTACCTTTAGATGCCAAGATAAACAAAGGGAGAAGTAATGAATAATTCAGGCCAAGAATTGTAAACAAAAGTGTTGTGTGTTAAGGGGAGTGACTGGGCCAATGTTTTCCCTCCAGCTGACTACCACCCCTCCATAACATATAAACATAGCATGTTCATATGTTATGTAACGTGTTTCTTATATAATTTTGAAGAAAATATCATAGATGAATTAATGACAATGTCTATATTAATGTAAAGTAAGATATTTAACATGCCCAAAAGTGATTATTATTATGTATTAGTATTATTACTATGGCATTAAGACTAGAGGGACACTCCTAGTGATTTTAATGTGTACCTGCATGCCAGCACATTGTGTAAGTATATTTAGGTACAGGTACACATAAGTATAATTATCAGAGTACAGTAGACCCCCGCCTTACGATCAGCTCCCAACTCGAACAATTATGTAAGTGTATTTTTGTAAGTGCTTTTGTACGTGTATTTTTGGGGGTCTGAAACGGACTAATCTAATTTACAATATTCCTTATAGGAACAAATTCGTTAGGTAACGGCACCAGAACAGACTTCTGGAATGAATTAATATCGTAAGTTGGGGGTCCACTGTACATATAAAATACGCAATAACTTTAAAACACTTGAAATTTTGGAAAGTTTCCAGATATAATAGATGTGTTCATGGAGAATGTAAACAAACCAGGTGGGGCGCACCATATTAGAAAGATTGCTTGCCGTACAGTTTTGGTCATAATTTGAAATCGCTATACAGTGGACCCCCGCTTTACAATCAGTTCCCAATGCGACCAATTATGTAAGTGTATTTATGTAAGTGCGTTTGTACGTGTATGTTTGGGGGTCTGAAATGGACTAATCTAATTCACAATATTCCTTATGGGAACAAATTCGTTCAGTAATGGCACCTGAACATACTTCTGGAATGAAATAATATCGTAAACCGGGGGTCCACTGTATTAGCGGAACGCCGTAAGGTGAAATGCTGTAAAGCGGGGCCCTAATGCACATTTATTCAGAACAGAAGTACAGTACAGTATTTCTTGCTTTGCATAAGGTACAGAATGCTTACATGGTAAGAATGCACTAAAATGCATTTAACACCTGGTAGGAGATGGGGAAGCTTTATGTATAGTATTTGATAAAGGTACACACATACCTCTTTGGGTGAACATTGTACCAATAAGGCTTACCTGCTTTTAGAGTCTTGCCATTCCTTGCTCTATTGTGCAAGTGTACAATGTATAAAGTAGATTTAATGATTAGAGGCTTGTAAGTTATAGAGCAAAACATTCCGATAAAAGATGGTCCTGCAGCTTGTGCCTGTCTTCATATCTGTCAGGATACTCCATTTCATCCAAGGTTCTTCTTCTAACATTTCCCTGAGTCACTCAAGAGTGCTCTAACTGCTGCCTACTCTAGCATACATTATGTTGTAATTATACAGTTGACACAACTTGTAATGCTCATATAAATAAATAAATAAATAAATAAATATCATCTACAGCACCTGTATTAAAACAGTTCTGAATGCAAAGAGAATTCAGTGTTTTGAGTACACTTTTTAATCTATGTACAGTTAGCTGGACTTGAGTCCTGGAGGTGGGAGGTACAGTGCCTACACTTTAAAGGAGGGTTTAGGATATATGCAGTTTGAAGGGGCATCATAACTGTGGTATCTACGTGCTTCTGGCAAGACACTGATAGAGTGAATGATGGTTAAAGTGTATTAAAAAAAAAAATCTATGTAAGCAGCCCTGGTAGCAGTTACATGGATCTACTGTATGTATGAGACACTGAAAGGGTTAGTATAATGATAGGTAATATATATACTCTATCTAGGTAGTAGGCTGGTAGACAGCAACTGCCCAGGGAGGCATGTACTACTGTCCTACTGAGTGAGTGTAGAACGGAAGACTGTACAGTGGACCCCCGGTTATCGGTCGGTTCAGTTATTGGCCAACTCGGTTATCGGCCGGTTTTTCGGCGCCTGGTTATCATCCGTTTGGGAGGCATCCATCCTCCAGCTGGGGCCGCCTGCGAGTCAGTTTGGCTTTGTCTCTGGGCGAGTGAGGAAGCTTCTGCTCATTCATCCAAACATTTTGCTATAATCCATTGTTTTTTGTGGTTATTGATTGAGTGCAACTGCGAAATAAGCAACCATGGGCCCAAAGAAACACATTACATAGTATATAAAAACATGCAATGTTTATATGCGATGTATATTTAACCCTTTGACTGTCGAAGGGCCCAATCCTGAAGTGTCTCCTGGTGTCACAAAATATTTGAAAAAAAAAATAATTTTTTCTTATGAAAATGTTAAGATTGTTTTTCTGATTGTTTTAGTCCCCCCCCAAAAATTTTCCAATCAGTACTTACCCAGATATAGAGGCATGAAGTTTGCAGAAAATGAGCCACGTATGGCAACAGCGGCGACTGCCGCTCACCGGTAAACTTTAGTTTACTTGTATTTGAAGGTTTGTTGTTTTTTCACTATTTTATTTTTTCACATAACTTATGTGGCCTATGAGACCAAAGTAAGGTGCAATGTACATATATACACTCGTTGTATACAACACAATAAGCACACAAACATAATTGTCAATATATTGTTTACAAAACTTGTTTACAAAAACAAACAATACAAAAAATTGTTTATTACTATTGTTCTATAATATATATACCAATATACAGTCACTGGACATATTCCTATAAGTTCTGCAGCTTGTTTAACTCTTTGAAACATGGTGTCATACACAATGTACTATCTTAGAGTACTCTTAATTACCTTGTAATGCCATATAACCTCTAGTATAACTACCAGTGCAATATTGAATGAAATAAACATTACTTTTTCA